ATGGTGTGTGTGTGTGTGCGTGTGTGTGTGTATGTGTGTGTGTGAGAGAGTGCGCGCGTTGTTGTTTTGCCATTGTCTCGGATGAGACCGTGCGGGCCGCACATGCGCGCATGTCGAACACATTTAACAAATATCGCACACCCGCCAACTCGGTCGAATACAACTATGCAAGGCCACACGTGCGCGTTCCTGCACGCGCGTGACACATGTGTTGCAATATCGACGGTGCTCTTACAACTGCATGACATGTGCGCAAAAGGTTCAAAACGCAAGTTAATGTTACAGGAAACCGATCAACGTGTTTACCCGCGCGCGCGTTTCCTCACAATCCACATCGTCAGTATCATCGCCAACATCATCTTTGCAGCCGTCGAAATAATCATCATCACATCCATCACCATTGTCGCCATCGTCATCGGCGTTGCCGTGGCCCTCGTCATTTTCGTGAACACCATCACGATCATCATCACTGTCGTCGTCACGAATTCAGATGGCACCGTTACCTCCAACACGTTGGACGCGTGGACGTGCATGAGCAGGGTCCGTGCGTCATTGCGCCTGCTGAGACTTGCGAACAACATCCGATGTCAAACGTCGCTCGCGGCTTCTCGAATGTTGCCGACAAATTGGGGGTGCATGGGTGGGACGTTGGATCGAACATGAGAGATGGTCACGCATGCATGCTCGTGCCCATATCTGATTTCATTTTAAAACGGACGAGAGAACCCGACCAGCCTCCCGACCCAGAATTATCGGTACCCCCTGGGATTGTGTTGTTGGATGCCCCGTATCATCGATCATTCTCCGGGCGAAATCACGTCATCTCAACCAAGCCAATTACGCCGAAACTATGCGAAGGTACTCGTGTGCCACAAAAACATATTACAGTAGTGTCAGATATGTTTTTTCGATGGTTTCAGCAAGAGGCTCTTGCTGAAACCATCGAAAAAACAAACAAATATGCTTAGCAATCTCGCTTGAAGCCCGAATTCTCATCTCACCACGCGGTGTACCCGCGTTGATTTAACATGCGCCCAGTGCACGAGTCCGTATCACAGAAGCCATGCGGGCCGTATGCGCGCGCCGCATTCAACCAACAATCGAGCTCTACGTATAGCACCAGGCGGTTTCAACAACACGCCAGCGAGATGTAATGACTTTCTGAGCGGGCGAATTTCCTCATCACCCTCATCGGTGCCATGCTATCATCATCACAACCACCTCTATTACCGACACGTGGACATCATCGTCATCGTCGTCACCAGCATCGGCGCCGTCGTTGGCCTTGCCGTCGTTATCTTCATCATTGCCATCACCATTGTATGTATCATCGTCGTTGCCGCCATTCTTTACGTCATCATGATATCTCGCCCGCCCGAGCCACCGACCTGAAGAATTCAAACGCCCGCAAGCCAGCGCGGCCTTTGAGACGCGCTGGGAAGTTCCCATCGGTAAGCGCCATCGCGGCCGCATCAACTCCGCCAAACCAGCTGGTCGCTCTGCGCGCAAGCGTGCGCGCGCCATCGCGGCCGTAGAAACGCGCTACGAAGCTCGAATGGAGAACCGCAATCGTGGCCTTGCCTATCAAATTGTGGATGGGAGAATGGAATGCTTGCGCGAGCGTTGAAGTTAACGACGCCTGGGTGATCGGGTCCGCTTGGGGCACTACAACTTACATGGGATTCTACCTCATCGTTCATGTCTCATCTGAAACGAGTGAATACCAAGAGGGCAGGGCGTGCTCCAATCAGGAGGAGAAGAGCGAATAGCCAGCGAGACAGCCAGGCCACGATGCAAACCAACAGGTGCTGGATGCGCTAGCGGCTACTGGTGGGCGTGCAGTACGCGCCTCAGCGCCACACCAGCTGCAACACGCCAACAAGGCAGCAACACGGATGGTGCCTCCGCTTCACCAGCTGCAATGGGCCACTAACCACTGTCGTTGGCCCTGCCACAACTACCACCAAGGCACTCCCCCTCGAATGCTGGGCCCCCAGCCAGCGCCACGGGTCCCCCGAGCCGCGCCTTGTGCCAGCGCCTTCGCTCCTGCGTAGAGCTCCCCCATGGCCGCGGCAGCCCAGAGGATCCAAAGCCTCCATCCTGCAGGTCGAGCGGACAAAAAGGGCCTCAGACTGGAGGGAAATTTTGGAGTCCCGAAGCGGTGCGGTGACAGACCGTGCGGTGACCTCGAAACCGCGCAAGACCTCACCGCACGGTCTTGGGACCCTGGAGATCCCTGTCGCCCGAGACATCCTCGGAGAAGGACTCGGGTCCCAAAACCGTGCGGTGACCCCGAATCCCCACCGACTCACCGCACGGTATGGTCACCACACCTTTTGGGGGCCCCCGAGAAATTGGGGCCCTTCAGTGCTGGAGGTCGGACCTCTAGTACGGAGGGTTTCGACCCTCTGGGAGTGGCGCCCGGCCAGGCGCCCCCGCCCCCGAGGCGCGGCCGGCTCGATCGCCTCCGGAGAGGCGCAGGCGGGCGCAGGCGGGGGGGGCGCCAGGGGACGTGTTGACCCAAGAGTGGGGGCCGTGATCGCCACGTTCCCCCAGGCATCACCCCTGTGCCCAGCGGATGCCATCGAGCGAACTCTTCCAGCCTCCTCCTGCCACTCCTGCATGGGTCCCGCTCATCCTCCAGAAGCCCTCCTCCTGCTGCGCATTCTCGTCCTCGCCCCCCCCCCCTCCTCCGTGCCGCCCCCGATCCTCCGCCCCCCGGCCGGCCCGAGGGCCGCCGGGCCGCGTCGCGCGCGCGCTCCCCCCTCGCATGGGGGGGGGGGCGGGGCCCCGCCGCCCGTCCTGCCGCCGAGGAGCGCGGCCCGCACCGGCGCGCGGTCGACGACCAGGAAGTCCCACTGGGGCGCGCGGGCCGGGCACGCAGCGTGGCTCGGCATCCCTCGGGCGGGGGGTGGGTGGGGGGAGCGAGGGGGGGCGCAAGCAGCGGGGGAGCAGCGGGCAGGCAGCGTGGCAGGCGCACGGCACTCATGACGGCCCGAGCTTGGATTCCAGCAGTCGCAGATTGCGTCGAAGTCGACCCCCCCGGGGAAGGACCACAGCTCGAACCAGCCTCGAGCTTCTCACCACCCCAAATACTAGCAAGCACCGGGCTATAATAACATGAGGGATACGTCCTCAGAAACTGATGGGATCCTTGATCCTTAAGGTCGGCATCGGGATGAGGTGATGCCAATTATGATGCGAGTAAGCATATGTTTCAGAACGGCTGGTCGGTTCTTGGAGGCCTCCCCCCAGACGCAGGCCTCCCCAGAGACCCCCCAGGAGCCCCCTGCAGGTGCCGCAGTGGCCAGGCCCTGCAGAAGTCTGCCGAGGCCGAGAGAGGGGGACACGCAACAAAAACGTCGACTTCATCCACAGATCTCACTCTCGGATCGGACGAAAGGGGGGATATCAAAGGGAGGGGTTCGCGAATCAGCTTACACAGCTGATTTTCCTGGCCTCGGAGGCGCCAATGTTTCGAAGAAAGCGCCCGGCGGCGGGGCCGAAACCTGCTGCATGCAACAACTTTCGTCGACCCCCGCCTTTCCCCATTCCCACCTTCCGTCCGACCTGAACCTCCTCACCACCTCCACCACCACCACCACAACCACCACCACCACCACCACCACCACCACCACCACCGCTGGCTCGACGTGTTGCTCATAGGGGGCTCGGGCAGCCGATAAATAAGTGCAGAGAGCGAGCGTCAGGAAGCGCAGGCCCAGACTCGAGGGGGAGATTGCTCCCGAGGCATCCGAAAGCTCGTTCTTGTGAACCCGCAGACTTCCACAGGCAGGACGCGACCCCCCCCTCTCCCGTGAGGGCAGCGTTTCATCCGGGTCCGCTTCTGATGGTCCAGGGGCCCGAACAGAGGTTCCCAGAGACCGACAAAGAGTGGAAGCACGCCAGAATTGTAAAATAATGTTCTGCTGGATCTGTTCCCTGGCCAGGAAAGCGTAGTCCCGTCGCAAGCATCCCTCCTGTGCCGGCCGGAAACGCAGCGCACCTCCGCGAGGCACCCGAAAGCATTCTCCGTCAAAACGTGATGATGAAACGTCGAAGACGCATTGCCGTCGCCCCGGCCAGGCCCCCCGCATGGACCCACATATCCTTAAGTCGGCAACGGGCGTCCGAAAACCAAGGCAAAGCCGAATTAACCTCTGCGACAAGCTCACGAACACAGGCACGAACAAAAAGGACGTCACATCACATCGATCGCTTGCCCAGCGCGATGCATCGCCGCCTTGGTAGCCGGCCTCACCGCTGTCGCACCACCGTCGACTCTCGCGATCCCAGGGACACGTGTGCATGCATGCCAGCGGGAAAGAGAGAGAGAGAGAAAGGGAGAAAGTCATCTGGCGGCTAGCTCACATGTCCACATGCCGGATTCCCTTGTCATCTCCCCTGGGGGGCAGCGGCCGATGAGCTCGACGCGGGGGGACCTGCTGGTGATTGGGCGCGACACGATGGCGCGCTGCCGGATCTCCAGAGATGGCGGCGCCCACAACACGGTGGCAAGAGGGGGGGGCCTTGTAAGAGTGCGGAAGGGCTTCTCAGAAAGCGGGGGCCTTTTCGGAAGGCCCTGGAAGTCTCCGAGAAGGCTTCTCAGAGACAGGGCGCGCTTCTGAGAAGCCCCCTGGAGTCTTGGAAGCCCCGCCGCCCCCTTAGCGGCCCGCCCCCCTCGCGCCATCCCCCTGCCCCTCCTCCGACGTCACGCTTCTCTCGTCCGACGTCCCTCTCCTCCGGCGTCGAGGCTCTTTCACGGCGTGGGCCCGGCGGGGCTCTCGACCTGTTCGGGAGGGGTGGCTTCTCGCTGTCCGACGGTCCCGCGGGGTCCCAGAACGGGCCATAGACACCTCACTCGAGCAACACGTGTTGCAGTCTTGATGTTTTCGTCACGCCAGATCTGAAGGTCGTCGGATGTCTCCTGGAGGCCCTGGTGGCCTCGAGGCCTCCAAGGACATCCGAAGGCTGCTGGATGCTCCTGGGAGCATTCGAAAGGCGAAACGGCATAAGGGGCCGAAAAACCATCCAAAACGAACGGCGAGCGAACCCTGATCCCCAGACGACGGCGACGGCGACCCGCACGGCCCCGCCGAATTTTGTCTGGCTGAGCGAGCGCGGGCAGACTCCGCGCCAGCCAATTGGGGTCACCGCGACCGGGCCAGGGCCGAGTCTGCGCTTGCCGTAGACTCGGTGCGGTTCAGGACCTCGTACGCGGAGTGGATCGCGAGGAACATGTCCTCGCAGGCTGCACTCTGTCCGCTGGCTACCCACAAATCTAACGTCATGGGGAAATCGGAGGCGTGCAATTGTACTTCGTTGCGGCGGCAGTTCCTTTTTCCACGCGGACGATTCCGGAAGCCCGGGGTCCCAGAGTGCTGAAGTCGCGCTTTTACTTCCGCCGCCTCGGCCAGCTGGCTCGCCGAACCCAACCAATCGCGCTCCCGCTGCTGCCCGTGCCACTTGTCATTCCCCCCCAAACCCGCCCGACCATTCACCCCGCGCACAGGAGCCCCTGTTGGCGGTGCGCACAAGAGGGTAGAGGGAGGGGGAAGGCTTCTCAGAAGGGACCCGTTTCTTCGAAGGCGCCAGCCCTACATCTACAGGTAAGGCCCCCGCGCCTTCTAAGAAGCAAGGGTGCCTCTAAGAAGCCTTCCCTCTTCGCCCCTACCCCCCCTTTGCAAGTGGCCGACCCTGACAAGCCATGTGGAAGACTCCAGGAGCCCCGAACCCCAAAGTGCGGACGTCTCACCTCTACAATAAAGGCGTATGATAAGGATGCGCGGTGAGGACGCAAGCCCCCTGGACGCCCAGGTGAAGTGCTTTGAACTGGGGATTGCCAAAGGATGGGCAAAACAGGCAAGGACGCACGGGTGTCCTTGGGAACGTCACTCAACCATACCATGCGCGTTGAGTGTAATTACTCCCGCCAGTCACCATCTTTCTCCTCCTCCTCCTCCTCCTCCTTCTCCTCCTTCTCCTCCTCCTCCTCCTCATTCTCCTCATCTTTCTCCTCTTCTTTCTCCTCCTCCTCCTCCGAGCGGCGAGCGCGTCTGTCCGCGCGCCCGAGCACTTGGTCGGGTGCGGGCACGATGGCGTGGAGCGCCGCGTCCTGCGGCCCCACCACCAAACGCATTCCAGTCTCCATCGCGCTGCCTCGGCGCAGACGCCGTCCGCGGCCCCGCCTGGCGCGCGCCTGGCCCCGCGGCGTTCGCCTGCCCGGCAGCGCTGCGCCGCCCGCGCCGCCAGCCTCGCCGCCCGCGGCCGCAACGCGGCGCCAGTCTGCGCCCTCGCCAGCCCCGCGCCCGGGGCCCGCCCTCGACAGTGGCGGCGCCCCGCGCCCTCCCTGCCCCAGCGGCCCAGCGCGGCGACCGCCCAGCGGCCCTGCCCCAGTGGCTGGCGCTTGGGGGCGGCGCGCGCGCGGCCTTAGCCTGGGGCCGCGCCCGGCCCAGGCGCTACGGGCCCTCCGGGCGGCGGCGCGGCGGCCTGGTGCTGCGCCGGCGCGAGCGCGGCGGCGGCTTGCCACGGCCGCGCCTGCGTGGCCCAGAGGACCGCGTCCGAGGCGTGCCGCTGCAGTACGCTCTGGTAAAGCTGCCGGATGGCAGCGGAACGCACCGCGCTCCCCGCGGGCGCGAGCTGCCGCGCGGGGGCGGCCACTTCCTCCCGAATCTTCCTATCCGAACCTCCTCCTCCTCCTCCTCCTCCTCGTCCTCCTCCTCCTCCTCCTCCTCCTCCTCCTCCTCCTCCTCCTCCTCCTCCTCCTCCTCTCGCCCGCTCCGGCCGGCCGCCGTTCTGCCTCCGCCGAAGGCGGGGAGGCGCCGAAGGCGGGCCCCTTTCTGTGGCGTGCCGCATTGGCGGCCCGCGCAAGCCACCGCGCAAGGTCGCGGTGCCATCGCGCGTAAGACCCCCAAATCTTTTTAAAGCTGATGTCGGGCGCCTTTCCTTTGTTTCGGCAGCGAGCCTGGGGGGGAAGTGAGAAGGGGCGGGCCTCCTCGGAAGGCTCGGAAGTCCCCCAGCCTTCTGAGAAGCTCCCGAAGCCTGCCCCGACGACACAGAAAACCTCTCAGAAGGCCTCTGGCGCCTTCGGAGAAGCCCCGCCACCTTCTGAGAAGGGCTTCTCCTTCTCGTTTCCCCCCCTCGCTCGCCGCCGAAACGTGGCCTGGCAGCCGACTGGCGCACGTGCTGGTTCGATTCCACCATGCGCCAAGGGCGCTGCGGTCGGCGCCTCCAGGCAGGGTGCGCACCGACCTCGGCAGGGTGTCGTGCACCAGAGGGGCCCGAAGCCCTCGTGCTCCCCGCCGTCGTCTCGCCAGATGCCGCCGACGCTGACCCCGCGCGCGCGCGCCAGCCCAGCGCAGCGATAAAGAACCATCCGCTGGGAAGCTGGACCTGCGCTCATCTAGGAGCTGGGGGGCTAACAGGCCTCGGAACAATAATAGCGAACACTCGTCAACGCCTCCCCCTCCCCCCAAATGTTCAAATTTGGTGGTGGGTCTGATGAGTTGCACTTCGACCGCAATCTCCTCCGCGCGTGCCAACTTTGAGTTTGGGTGACTGTTTCCCTCTACCGGATGCACATGCTCTCCCGCCCGGGCTCCAAATATGCTGAGACCTCTCAAGAAGAAAGCCTGGCCTCTCGGGGCCCCCAGCCGCCGGAATCCGCCGACCCCGGCTTGCCGAGGATGAGAAGGCGTCTGAAGTCATGGTCTGCAAGTGGCCACGGAGCCTCCCAAGGATACCCAAGGATACCCCGAGGCCCAAATCATTCCAAAACTAAACAGCATGCAGCAGATGCTGGCCTGTCGGCTTTTTCGCTTCCGATGGGCTTCCGATGCCTCAAGATGGCTCCAAGATGGCCCATGAGAGCCTCAAGAGGGACTCAGAGTCGCTCAAACACGACCCTGAAGGCCCTCCAGCGCCCCAAGAGCGTCACAAGAGGGAATAAAGAGAGAGAGAGAGAGGCGAACCATCGGGGGCCAAGCGGGGCACTCAAATTTAGGACCCCCCCCTTTCTTGGACCGATGACCTTCAGGATGGCTCCAAGAGGGCCACCACGGCCCCGAAGAGGGGCCCGACAAAAACTCCAGGCTCCCAAACAGGCCCCCAGAATGCTCCAAGGTGACTGCAAGAGGCCTCCACAAGCTTTGTAAGCTCAGCGCGGTTGGCCCTCTTGCGCCGCTGTATGCTCATATGCTCATCATTATCCCGGCTGTTCGCCTGGGCTTCGTTTCTGGATGGGCTGATGGGGATGCGGGAAGCAGAAACTGTAACGTTTGGCCATCCACCTTTCGGGGTCGACGGAACGGCGTAACGTGGAGGCCAGGCCACAAGAAACTTTCCACAAGAAACCCAATCCTCAGACCCCAGGACGTCCAAGGATTTTTGGTGTGGGAACGCCACGCGTTCCATGGCAAAAGCATCGAACCCCAAGAAACCCAAGGCACCCTGGAGGCAAGCAAGGTGTTTCTTTGCATGGGTCTCCACTGTAAGCCTCCTGGGTCACCATCTCTTGTAGCTGAGGGCCGAACTGCACCGCCTGACCCTCTGCGGCTGCAAGCGCCCAGGTGCCACAGGACCCCGCTGGTCCTGATCGCCGCCCTTGTCGGGGTGATAATGCTTGGCCAGCTGGAGGTACGCCTGCCGGCGCCTCCAGCCCTCCTTCGCTGCCTCCCCTCCCCCCGCTCCTCCTCCTGGTCCTCTGCCTACGTACTCTTGCCCATCTCTCCTCGACACCACGCCCGCTTTTCCGCCTCTCCTCTTGGTCCTCCTCGTTCTCCCCCCCTTGTTCTACTTCATCTCATTCCCCCCTCCTCCTCCTCCTCCTCCTCCTCCTTCTCCTCCTCCTCCTCCTTCTCCTTGTCCTTTGCCTTGACCCCATCCTCATCCTTCCCCTCATTCTCCTTCACCTCATCCCCAGTCGCCTCCTCCCATCCTCTTCCCTCCTCACCCCTCCTCTTCCTCCTCCTACCCCTCATCCATCCATCTTATTCTCCTCCTTCGCCTCCTCCCCCTCCCCGTGCTTCGCCTCCTCGCTCCCCTCCTCTTTGCCCTGCTCCTTCGCAACCTCCCGTCCTCCTCCATTTCCTGCTACTCCTCCTACTCCTCCACCTTATACGTGGTACACCTATCGCCTTCTCCAGGTCTTCCCCCTTCTCCCCCTCCAAATGGTGTTCATCTGCCTTCACCGTCTCGATCTCCTTTATCCCCCTCCTCCTCCTCCTCTTCCTCCTCCTCACCCTCCTCCTTCACACGTCATCTCATCCTGTGTTTCCTCCTACTCCTCCTCATTTCGGTCTCGTCTTTTAATATGATCCTAAGTTTGTACTCCATGGGGAAATTTGCCCAGGCTAACCTTTGCTGTGTACTGGGTGGCTTACACCTCTCGACAGATACTGTCACAACGGCCGTACAGGGCTAAGCCTAAATAGGAAGGGCCTGATATGCTGACGGCAGTACCAAGGCCGCGCTCGAGAAAGACGCCGCTACAGCGAAGGCTTACGATAAGCATCCTTGCTACGTATGAGGAATCTGAAGGTTCCCGTGGATGTTTGCCTTCGTCGGGTACTCTACGGGGCCTCACGGCCTTTCGGGAATGAGATATTTCGATGAGGCGCCTAGTGTCCGGCTGGCTTCTTATCTGATGTGCCTACGGTCGGCCGCACCAAAATTCGTAAACGGCCGCGCCTAGGACGTGTGCAACTGTGCCAAGGCCATGCTTACGATGAAACGTGTGTCAACTAAGGATGCGCGGTGAGGACGCAAGCCCATCGGACGCACAAGTTAAGGCTTTTTGAGCGGCGCACGGCCAAACACCTAAGGATGCAAGGGTGCCCTGGTAGACCTGAATCCTTGCCGAATTGGCGTTGAGATCATTAATAGAAACATCCCGAGGACGCAAGGGTACCTTCCAAAGCCGCGTCCCCTCTGGACATGGCGTCAACCCTAACGGCGCCTGCTGGAGTGGGCAACGCGGCTCATACTGCGGCGGCCAGTTGCTCGTCCTTCGCATGTGCGTTGACTGTCGCAAGCTGCATGAGCTCTTGCCGAGGAGCTGGCACTGAGCGAGTGGACGGGACACGCTGGAAGCTCGAGCAGCGCACTGCAAGAGTTCTTGAGCGGCGAGCGTGCGAGTGCGGCTGCCACGCTACCACCGCCCAAGCAATTCCTGCAAACCCGCGCCCCCGCTCACGACCAAGCATCTGCTCAAAACCGCTTTCCAGACTCCACCCGGGTCCATCCGAGCTAGTTTTTCGAGATGCGTCCAGTCGTGGCAACGAGACCTCCACAGCCCCGCCCAAGAACTCCAAACCGTCGACGTCGAAGACCAGATCTGAGAGAACCATCTGGGAACTTCTCAGGGCATAGAAAGCGGGGGTTTTGACAAACCAGGGCATTAGCACACCAAAGAAAACTGCAGCCGTGGGTCGAAACATTGTATGTGCTCCCCCGCTGGACACTGCTGCAACGCCCTGGTTTGCAGTGTCCCTTCTCTGGGCCTCCTCCTCCTCCTCCTCACCCTCTTCGTCTCTGAGGTTGGCCATACATGAGCATCGTAGCTGTTGCGTTCTACACCCTCCTCCTCCTCCTCCTGCTGCTCCTCCTCCTCCTGCTGCTCATCCTCCTCCTCTCAAGCCACCCGGGCCCCAAGGAGCGGCGCCTTTGCCTGACTTTGGGCACCCCCAAGTCTCGGCGCTTAACGCGGGCCCACGCCATGGCCCCTGCGGCTTGAGGACAGAGCCTTCGCGACCCGCAAGACCGGGTAGAAAACATGAATGGCACTGAGGAAAAGGTGGACCTCGATGACCTCATCAGTTGGGCCGAGGAGGCCGCCGAGGAGGTGCCGACAAGACCGACGAGGTGACGCATTCCGCGAAGCTGCCACAGGCGGCGCGCTAAGTGGCGGTTTTCGAAACGCCGCGGGTAGAGCACCACCAGGAGACAGTCAAGGTACGTCAGGAGTGGGCGGACGACTTCGATGACGAGAGCAAGCTGGAGCAGGACAACCTTCCCAGCGCCCCGCTGTTCTCCATCCTCGAGATGACAGTCGGGAAGATGGAGGAGGCACTGGTAGGGAAGCCAGGAGAAAACGGCCTGCAGCACGTTGAGGAGGTGCCCCAGGAAAAACACCAAGTGAATACCGTTGAGGTAGACATCGTGCCGCAGGGCGTCGAGATGCCGAACCATCTCGTGGAAGTCAATGCAAGTGCCGCACGTTGAGAACGTCGACGCGCCCTTCCACGTCGACGCGTCCGCTGGCAACACCGTCGCGCAGGTGCAGTCGCAGATCGAGAAGCTAGCCAAGCCACACGTGCCGTGAGACGTGCACTTCGCAATGCACCAGCTCGTGATCCTACACTCGGCTGGCTCAGGCGGTGGGGGTCCGTTATGCCCCCTGCGACTGCGACTTCGCGGAGAGGTCGCGATACTTCTGACGATGGGGGGCCGTAACCCCCGTCGGAACGCTCGACTACGAGGGCTGAGCTGGTGGCCTGCCGACGCGGAGGCTGGTAACCCTCCTGCGCGCAGGCCTCTGATGGTCACGCACCCACCCCTCAAGGTGGTCGGATTTCGTGCCTGTTACGATGTTGATTGTGACTTTCGCCGTCGCGCATCCCATAGTTCCCGTAATAGTGTGTCCTCCTCCTCCTCCTCCTCCTCCTCCGCTTCCTCCCCCCCCCCGAGAAAATCAGAATCGGTCCCTGGACTGGACCCCTCCCCCCCTCCCGCGGGGCCCATTCTGGTTTGCTTTTCACCCCTGCTCGATGTTTGACGGCCTTGGGGTCCAAAAGCACCTTGGGGTGCAATGCAGGCCTGGCCGATGTCAGCGTTATTTCTTGTCACCTTCTGCCTCCATGATTTTTCTTCGTGGTCTTCCTTCATCAGTGTCGTCCTCTTCCTCCTGTCCCTTCGTTTCCTCCTCCTCCTCTTCCTCCTCCTCCTCCTCCTCCTCCTCGCGCGTGGCCGAGGCGGACGCGCAGGTTCACGTTCAGCGGCGCCAAGCTCGGCGCAACTGCCACCTTACTGTAGGAACAGCCTGAGCAGCACGCTCGGGCCTGACTGGAGCACCGCTGTTGATGCTCCTTATTTGATGATAAAGCAGCGTCGCTGCGGCGGGCACAAGAAGGGATTCAGGCGATGGATTGGCAAGACCGGGACGGGAGATGGGGGAAGCAGGGAGAGGAGGACAGGATAACTCAACGAGGACCGAGGAGAGAAGAGCGAGAAAAGATGGACAAGACCAGACATGCTCGAGAGAATCTGAGGGGCCATGGCAACACATGCATGGCTCTATCTGCTGAAATCTACGTGCTGTCGTCCAGGCGCCACTTAGAACCCTGAGGACTTGGAACGCAGCCGCGGGGGACAACTCTTTGAGTGTGTCTTTGATTCGTGGCCAGGGAAGGGCATGGGCTTCCGCGAGCGTTATCGGGAGCCAGCTTGACAGTCTGACGGAAAAGGTCACCTCTAGAGTATCATGATACATGTGTGAAGTTATATCTTGATATAACAAGCTCTGCACTCGGGTCTTACGCGTGGGGTCGGATTCAGCTAGGATCGAGCGGACGTGGGAGAGGGCAGGGGCAGCGGCAGCAGCAAGTCGGAGGCGAAGGGAAGGAGACGAGGTAGTGAGAGAGGTCCCGATCTGCCGTGGGAATCCTGACGCGGCAGACTGCAGAAACTCAGCAAAGGATGGCTGGAGCCAGAACCTAGGCGACAGCCTCTGGAGCGCTAACTCAGGAAGGGCCAGGGACCGATCAGCGGCAGCACTGAGAAGGGGAATACGTGAACTCCAAACAGTGAAGTGCACGGTAGCAGCTCTCATGAGGGCAGCCGCATTCTGGGCAACTACGCTGGGGATCTTAGGGCCCCCCCAATGCAAAAGCTGAAACCATCCCTCTCGAGGCAGAGCGCAGAAAGGGGTGTGGTATAATGTGGCCAAAAGGGCCGATTCTTTGTGCCTAATCGATTTTGGCATGGGCATAAATTGGGAGACATAGGAGAGGACGGAGGCAACACGGACAGGATAGAGGTAAGAGATCACCCTCAGAGGAGCTCCTGTGTCGGCCAGCTCGAGGATACGAGCTCTCCACTTCGCGACTGGTGAACGCCAGCTGTGTTCTAGAGCTGCAGGTCCAAGCCACATGCCCAGGTACTTCAGAACTGCTTCAATTGGAATAGAAGACCATTCAGGAACCAAAAGAGAAATCGCCTGTTGATAGTCAGCACGCAGTGCAGGGGTATGCGGTCCACTCAGGGGGGCAATCACGCATTTCTTCAATTTGAGCACCAGCGCTGCTACCCGTCTCGCAGTAGAGAAGATACGATGCATGACTCGAAGGTGTTCAAGGCGCCTTAATGCTGCTCCCACATCATCTGCACAGGCTCTGACAACTCCACGATCTTTGCGGCAGATGGATGCGTCGAAGTTGGACATGAAGGGATCCGCCGCCAAGGCGAAGATGCACCCGGAGCTCGGGCAGCCCTGGATGATCCCACTGCTGATCCAAAACAAGAGTGTGAGGTCTGTGCCCATCGCGCCGTAGCAGCGCACGCCCGAGAAGAGAAACTCAGTGAATGTGACCAGGGGCGGCGGCAGCAGCATCGCATTGAGGACTTTGAGAACCCAGCTGTGCGCT